AGAATATACACCAGTTACTATTTGAAATATTCTTTAGTGATTACAGAAATTAAAAGCTGCAGAAAAACTCCAAGGGCTAATGTATTATTTTTTGTGCTAATATACTTGGACTGCATTGGTATTTAAAGGAATAGCCATGAAGTTCCTGTACCGGATATGCTTTGTCCAGAATTTAGCCTTAAATGTGATCGATTTACTATAGGATATATGCCACCGGTTCGTGGTTTGCCCGTGTGCCCTTTCCTATTTGTTGTCCTTCTGGGCTTGTTGCCAATTATCCTGTGTTGGTAGATATGTGTTCATTAACGTTTTTCGCGCGTTTAACGCGTGTTCCGTTATGACGTCGCTACCGATAATTTTATTATGTTTTGTACTGATGAAGACATATAGCCGAAACGTATGCAATAAATAATTACTGAATGTTCGTGTTTGTGTGGCTTGTCTGCTTATTTTATCTATGAAGGGATTTTATAAATACTAAACACAAGTGTTAACAATATAGAGCCGATGTGTCATGTTCAACAACCAGTCGCCTACCTCCAAGGTTAAGGCCAGATGGAGGTCAAAGATTATCGTAGTCTGTTATCCGGGTATATTTTGAATCAGGCCCATAACTTCTTTATAGAATAAAGGGAAATTACCTTTACAAAAAATATCATTACAATAATAAGAAAATGTGTCATGTGCTACAACCCATACCTCTACCTCCAACCTGTCTACCTGTCACACATCGAATGTCAAAGCTTAGTATGGTCTGTCGTAGGGGTATTTTTGTTTTTAGCCGTTTCAATAACTTTCTTATCAATCAGGGATTTTGAATTTTGAAAATACAAATGTTCACAGTACAAAGATGTCGTGCGCCGAAGACACACACACACACATTACATTTACCTTCAGGTCAAAGTCGCAATTAGTGATAAAAGGTCAACATTGTCCTATATCGAGGGCATTTGTGGTGTCCGTTCTAATAATTTCTTCATCAATCAATGGATTTTAAAATTATTTGGCACAAATGTTGATAATAATAGGACAATGTGTCATGCACAACACCTGGACCATTATCTCTGAAGTCAAGGTCAAAGCCTTTCATGATCTTTTATAGGATGCATTTTGTGTCCAGTCCAATTTTTTTTAGGTCAAGTGATTTCGAAATTACTTAGTACAAATGTTCACAATAATGGGACCATGTGTCATACACAACAGCCAGCCTCCAACATGCAATGTCAAGGGCACACTTCGATATAAAAGCTTAACATGCATGGTCTGTTCTAGGTCTGGCTAGGTTATATTTTCTGTGCGCTTTATAACTTTTCCATCAATCAAGGGATTTTGGAATAACTTGGCACAAATGTTTAATACAATTACAAGCGCAACACACAGACCCATATCTCAAAAATCAAGGTCACACTTGGAGGTCAAAATGATGCCAAGACAGGCCCAAATTAAAATTGATGTATTGCCCACATGCTATGACTGATGACTGAACTCTGAATATACCCTGTAACACACCATATATTTCATTGATTTTGTATTTGAGGCTTTGAAATATTGACAACAACTATACAAATGTCTTTTTGTTGGCACACACCGGAGTTATTTCATTATATTTCTAAAATGAATTTAATGTTACTTGCATGTGCATATTAAGCTTAATAAAAAGTTTGCGCTGAAAATCCAGATCCATGCTTCAAGTCTTTTGAAAAACACATTTTGTGTTTTATCTTAAATCTGAATAAATTCTTGTCTTGATGAATACTAGATCTTCACGTGTCTCAATACAATCATTATAAACATATAATTGAAATAAGATATTTGTGTCAAACGAAATACATTTGAGCACTTTTTACTTCTGAAAATAAGTACATAAAAAGTATATTAAAAAATAAGTTCAGGTGACCATAACTTTGGTTGTAGGAATATATGTGTAGCGAACGACACATTGCCTTGATATGATGAATATTTGTGCCAGCTGATTTAAAAATGGGAAAGTTGCAAAATGAACAACATCATGTCCTATTAAAACCCATGTTAAGGGCTGACTTCTGAGAGTGACCTTGACTTTAGTAGAGGTTTGACTTTGGCAGAGGACTTGGTGTTATGTACGACACTTATTATTTAATGGTGAAAACTTGCGCTAAGTAATTTCAAATCCAATTATCAATGGCTCAGTTATGGACTCTATAAGAAGTACCACTGACGGACAAACAAACTGATTTGACATATGCACCAGAACTCGATTTTCTCTTTTTAAATCGGAAAGGCGGGGGTTTGTCGTGGATGGGTTTTCCGTTAAAACTTTTTAAAGTAAATCTTATGAAAATACATCATAATGTACCAACAAAGTATTAATGATTAACATTTATTCCTTTCCAATGTTCCAGTTGATAATTTATCCTTAATGTTCAGATTTTTCCTTACACGTTTCTAAACTGTTCTTACTTTGTTCGTACTGTCAATGGAACACAACTTTTTAAAATAAAATTGTCAATAAACACCCTTATTTAAAAGGGTATTCCCAAGAAATTAGCACATTTTAAAGAGAAGTAACAAATTATCGGCCCCATGATGCGTGACACACATTTTATGTTACGCATTCATCATGGAAAGTTGTTGATAAGGTTTACAAAACAACACAGGTCAGAGGACTATTGTTTTATTTCTTGCTTGACAATAAATCCGTTTTATTTAATACAACAGAAAATAATAAAAATGATAAAAAGAAAAATACGAAAACATGAATATAAATTGTAATCCAATCGCAGAACTATACTTTAACTATTACATATAGGTGTATAATTGACATTGTTCTAACAGTCATCTAAAACTAATTACCTTTATTACGAAAAAAAAACCAAACAGAATACAATTTAGCTTTCATATATGTTTAGGTTGTCCATGAAAGAACAGTTTTAAGGATGTTAAAAAGTCTAAAAATTAATGTCTTACTATGTTTTGTTTTCTCTCTAAAAGTACATAGCGATTTTTCACATCACAAGATAACATATATACCGAATCTTTGAAACAGCACAACATTATTTCCAATCTCAAACTTTAGAAATGAAATTTCTTAATTATTCAAATATAATAGAAAATAAATAATAAATTAAATATATAAATAAAAAAAAACAAAAAAACCACACACACAACCAAATATTTACAGTACAGGACACCATTTTTCTCCATAAATCTGCGCACGCAGGTATTACTTACGAAGAAGTAAACATGCATCAATGGATAAAATCACACGGGCACGTATCGTTGATGTACATGTACGTTTATTCATATATGTAAAACTTACTTCAATGACGCCCCTGTAGTTAAATTACTTAAATATTAATTTAAATGTCAACTCACAAGTTAAACATGTGCAACCAACCAGTTTTTACGTGAAACAAATAACAAAACTCGGTAGTATCGAAACAGTGGCATATTCCATAATGCACTAAAACACTTTTTGCGCATTAACATCTGCATTAACATCTCGGACATATTTAGATTTTCAGACTATAATTCGTTGTCGTGCTTCTGCAGATGTTAACGCACGAAAAAGGTACACAGTCTATCTCTATTAACAGCCTACTGTTCACTGTTTAACCTATCAACTTGGCATTTTTTCATCACACTTTCACAAATATTGTGTCTCTCAAGCACTTAGATATATAATAAAAAAGAATAATTGTTTAAAATAACATACGAGTATATTCAACCTTTTTAAGAACATCTATGTAAATCAATGTCACTATTATTTGACAAGTCGGTGACCCCCTATTACTTTAGTCATTTAGACTGAGTATACATTTTAAAGGACCTTTTAAGAAAAGAAAAATTAAAACATTTATTTCAGGATTTTTTTGATAAGCCGCTTTAAAGCCTAAACTGAACGTCAAATTTTAACCCAAAATTGACGATTTTCTTTCCATTTTTCAAAGATTTTTAGGAGTAAAACGTTAAATTTTATTTCAGACTAAAGGGAAAAAATTCTGTGGAATGCTGTAGAACTTAAGATATTTTGCGCGCCTATGGCGTTGTAATACAAGTAACAGTTACCAAGGATACGCAACAACGTCATGTTTAAAACGGGCTTTGATGGTCAACTTTGACGTGGTGTGTACAAAATTTGGCTGAAACTATTGGAATAAAATTAACGGAATCTAATCAGAAATATGGTCATCTTTTTGCATGTCTTTTTTCAAGACGCTACTTGAAAGTTCGCAAAGTGTCGCGTTCTACCATAAGTCCGATTGTGATGAAAGCTTAAATTGTTTTAGCTTCTATTTCCTGGAAACAACATACAGCCTTCAACTTAATATTGCAGAAATATTGTATCATGCAATATGACTGCGACCCAAGTAGGTCTTACTTTACATCATCCCTGTGTTTACAGCCACCTCTTATCGAAATAAAATATACATTAACATTTAATGAAAAACAGTGACAGCAACATGATTTTCAAATAAATTTAAATATTAAAAATGACTTTATGTGTTTAAAATGACATCAACAATTTTTATGAATATACAAATTATAACTAGACTAATAAAAATATGATTTAAGTACCATAAGTATCATATACTTCATATATAATAAAAGGTATAAATATTTGACAGCACGACATATTTTATAAATATTTGCCACAAGCCGAATGTGTAGCCGTAACTAGGTATAATTGTTTTGAAAGATATTAAATGAAATAAATATGTTAAAATATCAATTGAATTTACAAGTTGACCAATCAAAAAATAATAATTTGACGCTGTATAAAATATTAACGACATCATGAAAATTTCTTGAACATGAAGACAAAATATAAGAATGAAAACAAAATATAAGGTGGATAAGAAAAATGAAATATTTTAATTCATAACTACATTTTATTGTACTTACACAACAAATATTTATTGATAAAACAGACAAATTACAGTATTTACAGCTATAGAAGATTATTCTAACTTAATTGTAATATGCTTGCTATCTATTACTTAATTTACTTAATTTGTAACTAAGTAACAGACCCAAAATGCATTTTGGTTTGCTATACGTTTGTACACAATTTATTTGAAACCTTTTCCAAATTTTGAAACAAGTTTTCGTAGAAGGTTTCCAAATTGGAAGATGTTTTCCTGTAAAGCTCTTTCGTCGGCAGCAATCGATTGTTTTGCATCAATAACAACAACAACTGGTTTGTTAACCTATGAAAAATAAAAAAAAATCAAATTTGCTTATCTAGATTGAAAAAGCATAGTTATATATAAAACACTATGTAACATATCACACGCAGTAGTAAGCCCCATAGAAATATGATACCTGAAAGAATAGTGTCATTCTCCGACCATGATATTCATACCTTTGGGCACTGTATATTGGCAACGCTACACGCAAGGAACTGTGGCTCACTTAGAATATTTATACCCGTGTTACTTGTGGTCATCATTTATGGATAGGTTACCAATTTCCTCAATCGGAAAGTCATCGGCTATTATCTATAATAACATCGGAGTAAATGCGGAACGAAAGAAGTTCCACCACGTGGTTTCAGATGTAAACAGAAACAGCGAGTGTAACCTTCGATAATGTAAAACAAATGTATATTTTTGACATCCAAAAGAAAATAAAGACTGTTTCGTTACAATTAGTCTTGAAAATATGACTGACAACCATTTTTCAATTTAAATATGCATTCTGATGTACAATAATAAACAAATGCGACTCAATGTAAACAGGTTGGCATTTTGTACTTTCGAATTATACAACCATAATAATAAATATATAAATAATCTATCGTTTGCTTTTGTATCTATGAATTCACTTATTTTATAATTTAAGGTGGACCTTTACTTGATATGTTGGAAATAAACTTGTCGACAACTCCGAGCATTGAATTACTATTTGTTTACATGTTTACTTTCTTGGAATAGGTTAGACCGAAATACCGTATTCGTTCTGTGTATTCATACTTGTGTTCAAGGTCCTTAAACAAAGACTGATTGAAAGAGCCGAAAAGGTAAGATTGCCATTTCATAAGATACTATAAGTTAATGAAGATTTTCTAAAAGGAAAAAAGAAGCATAAAAATTTCCTTTTTAAAACGACTTCATAATACGACTATTTGATGTCAGAATTGAGTACCGCTCGCCGTTGCTAGGGGCGTGAGGGATGTTGCACTTACTCATTATCCCTTAATGTCTGCAATTTTTATGTAATTTTGTTGTGATTAGTGCTTCCGAGTGATCACTTTGTTTCCAGATTTTTATATCGTTTCCAGATTTTTATATCGTAGTATGATTAATCTTATTGTCAAGTGCAAAAAGCTTTAAGTAGATGGGCGTTTTTCATGATGGGCGTTTTTTCGTTTGGATCGTTGTTGTTGAATTTTACTACTAAAATAATAAAAAAACTAGAACTATCACTAAATGTGATTAATACCCCCGCAAGACTGCTTCGGAAATGAGGATGTTACTAGTAACAGAATACCTTGTAAAAGAATTGAAATAGAATTATGGTTGTGGGCAATTAAAGATAGTTGTGTTGTGGTTCTTGTATGTTGCATTTCCTTTCAATGTGGTTGACCATTGATGAAGTTTTATTGAATTACTCTGTAATAAGTCCAGAAAGACAAGGAAAAGGAACAAAGAGCAATAACTCTATAAATACTGAAGATGGAGTTATGGTTATTGTACATTGCACCACCTCTCACTGCCCTTGACCATTGTATAAAGTTTCATTGAATTCCAACCATTAATTTTCAAGTTATGCACTGGACAATAAAAAGTAACAAAGGGCAAAACTTTTAAATGAGTCATGTCAATATACTTGACCATTGTATGAAATAGTATTGAATTCCAACTAGTAGTTTTCAAGTTATCCTCTGGACAAGACAAAAAAGTAAAATGTAACAAAGGGCAATAACTCTATAATTACTCTGGACAGAGTTATAGTTCTTGTGCACTGCACTTCCTCTTATTGTGCTTGGCCATTGTATGAAGTTGTTTTGAATTCCAACCAGTACGTTTTAAGTTATGCTCCGGACAACAAAAAGTATCAAAGGGCAATAACTCTGTTATTTGTCAAAATGGAGCTATGGTTCTTGTGCACCGCACTCCCTCTTAATGTGCTTGACAACTGTATGAAGTTGTTTTAAATTCCAACCAGTAGTTTTCAAGTTATGCTCCGGACAAGGAAAAGTAACAACGGGCAAAAACTCTGTAATAAGTCAAGATGGAGTTACGGTTTTTGTGCACTGCACTTTCTCTCAATGTACTTGACCATTGTATGAAGTTGTATTGAATTCCGATTATTAGTCTTCAAGTTATGCTCCGGACAAAAAAAGCAATGGAAAAGTAACATAAGGGCAATAACTCTGTAATTACTTTAGATAGTGTTATGGTTCTTGTGCAATGCACTTCCGCTTATTGTGCTTGACAATTGTATGAAGTTATATTGAATTCCAACCATTAGTCTTCAAGTTATGCTCCGGACAAGGAAAATGCAACGGACCGCTGGACCGACCGACCGACCGACCACCGTTTCTGGGGTATAACAACAACAGCAACAAAAAATTCCTATTGTTAATAATTTGTACTCCTTTAATACAAAATCAGCAATAAAAAGTAGTTTTACTTTTAGAATTATAGATAAGGATAACATATGGCCAGATATATAATGTATTTATCCAATTGGAAGGCGCTAATGAGTCATAAAGGTAAATGTCTCTTAAATCAGGGAGTATGGGTTCGAGTCTTACTAGTGTATTATTCCAACTTGACCAGTAAAGATAAGTTCCAGGAACCTGACTTAAGAGTGGTTCTAAATCAAACAAAATTTAAGCTATCATGAATGTATATGTTTCAACCAAGCCAATATTGTATGATAAAGGGGCAATAACATTCAGGTTGCAGATAAGGTGGATGTACATTTTGCCTTATTATGAGCTTTTAAAAATGGCTAATAATTTTTCAGCATTTAATTGGATTTGCTATGTTTCATTTTAGTGGCTTGGTGGCTTGCATTCTTTAAACTCAAACAAAATTTTGGACAAAACATATACAATATACAGATACATGTAATAAGATAAAATAGATCTATTAAAAAGAAATAACAGATACAGTGAAACGACTACAAAATAAATAAACTTTAATATGATACTTTTACATGATCTAATAAATTTTGTTAAAGTTTGTTTTTCTTGACGTAGTAGATTTTTGCGGAAAAGGGACGATAATGTGTTAATGATTGAGAAATTCAAGTTAATTTATCTGTAAACATTAATAAAACGATAAATTGTATTAAAGAACAACAAAGTTTTTGAATTCTTTTCATTTCATCACTTTGAACAAAACGGGCAAATAAAGAGGAACTACGTTAATCATACAAAAACATACACAATATTTTATTTGACGTAATTTGCAAAAAATGCATATTCCTTTTAGTCAGTTATAACATGATAAGGTGTTAATTTTAGACGTACCTTTGTCTTATTTACTTCAATGTAAATATTTGTCTCACATAGCTGGTCTATCGCAATAAAAGACTCGTGTAATAAACGAAGGTAGTCGACAAGTTGTTTGGACACTGCTGCAACAATACTGGCTGACAAACGTCTCTCGTCATTAATAATTTCTTGGATACTTCTCATCGTTCCGGCTGGTACATGCTCATGTTTCATTCGAACAGTTCTGCTGAATTTCTGATATTCTATTATGGCGTTGCCTATTTCTAAATGAAGAAGAAATTAAAAATTGAATGAAATATTATTGTTACAGTTATTTGACAGAAATCAGCACAAACTATTAAATGATTTGAATATAATCATGATCAACCTGTTCAATAAAATATAAAATGTAATAAGCTTTATTGAAAGTCATTTGAATTGTCATCATTCTTGAAACAAAACGTCAAGTCCTACATGTTCACTTGTCACCGGAATTGGAAACAATATGAACAATATCAAATTTACATTACAAACACCTTCTTAGATTATAAAATTGATAGCTTTAAAAAATAACTAAGAATGAAAAAAATAAATCTTCCAAACAAATACAGTTGTTTTTTGAGAAGTCAAAAACTTAAGAAAGATTTCAACAAACATAAAGTGATAGAAATTAACTTGTTGCCGATTACAAATGTTTACCTTTCTGGACCATTGTTATACTCTGCTCATCAATACTAGGATTGAAACTCTAAAAATACAAAAGGGAAGCGTAAACTTATTCTTCAAAAGCTTACTACATAAAGACGTCTTTAACAACCCTAGTCACGGCATCAAATTGTGTTTAATTGCTGTGCTTATTTTCATAATTCACTTAATTATGCCAACGGTGAACGCTCATTACGTCTTTCTCAAATAAATCATATTTTTATGCCCCCGCCATGTAATGGCCGGGGCATATAGTGTTACCCTGTTCCGTCCTTCCGTCCTTCCGTCATTCCGTCCTTCCGTCATTCCGTCCTTCCGTCATTCCGTCCTTCCGTCATTCCGTCATTCTGTCATTCCGTCATCATCAGTTTCCGTTCATTATCTTAGTAACGGTTGCACACATTCAACTCAAATTTGACATATGGATATGTCGTGAGAAAATACAGGTCAAGTTCGAATTTGGTCATGGTTCGATGATTTTTTGGCAGAGTTATGCCCCTTTTACTTTAAAATAATATGAAAATTTTTTCAGTTTCCGTTCATTATCTCGCCAATGGTACAACACATTCAACTCAAACTTGACATATGGATATGTCATGAGAAAATACAGGTCAAGTTTTCGAATTTGGTCAGGTTCAATGATTTTTGTCAGAGTTATGCCCCTTTTACTTTGAAAATAATATGAAATTTTCAGTTTCAGTTCATTTATCTCCCAACAGTACAAACACATTCAACTCAAATTTGACATATGGATATATCGTGAGAAAATACAGGTCAAGTTTGAATTTGGTCATGGTTCAATGATTTTTGTCAGAAGTTATGCCCCTTTCACTTTGAAAAATAATATGAAATTTCAGTTTCCGGTCATTATCTCCCGATGTACAACACTTTTAACTCAAACTTGACATATGGATACGTCACAGGAATGCGCAGGTCAAGTTCAAAGTTGGTCATGGTTCAATGATTTTTGCAGAGTTATGCCCTTTCACTTTTTGAAAATAATATGAAATTTTCAGTTTCTGCTTATTATCTCCCCCAACGTACAACACATTCAACTCAAATTTGACCATTATGGAATATATTTTTGAAATACCCAGGCCAAGTTGGAATTTGGTCATGGTTCAATGATTTTTGGCAGAGTAATGCCCCTTTTACTTTGAAAATAATATGAAATTTACAGTTTCTGTTCATTATCTACCCAACAGTGTTACATATTCAACTCAAATTTGACATATGGATATGTCAAAGGATGGGCAGGTCAAGTTTGAATTTGGTCATGGTTCGATGACTTTTTGGCAGAGTTATGTCCCTTTCACTTTGAAAATAATATAGATACATCTTAGGAATAAGCAGTTTAAGTTTGAATTTGGTCGTGGTTCAATGATTTTGGACAAACTTATCTTTCTTGAATGTTGGAAAAATTTTGAACTTTCAGTTTCAGCACTGAAATGTATGTAGCCATTATTTTGGCTACAAATATGAAATATGCTATTTTCAAAAGGTTTAGACTGAATAATTTCAGTGCCTTGAACATTGTATGAAAATGGTTTGTGTTAACATTGAAAAGTTTTAAGGGCTTTGAACTTAAAATGAAAAAAATAATTTGTGCAAACAAATTTGGAACTAAATATTATAACATCTGAAATTTTGGCTGCATGCGGGGGCATCCGTGGCATGATGACACATTTCTAGTTAAAATAAACAATGCCAATCATATATACCATATGAATTATTTGTGCAAAAATCGGAAGGATGAAATATCCTTTTTTTGAATTTCAATAAGATTTGCCAAATATCCTAGTTGTAGTAAACGAAGTTTCAGACAGGAAGATTAACTATAGGCATACTTTTATCTACTTTTGTAAAGGAATCAAGGCGATGTTTCATGCAAATATATATCTAAGCCTTAGGCACTGCTGTTTAAGATACAGGTCATTGTAAGGAATGGACTCTAGATCTAGTGCAAGACTATTTCTTACTCAAGGGGCATCATTCATATAACTTTTGTGGAGGTCTACTATGCAATGCTATGAGTCCAAGTTAATGTAATTCTTTTAATGAAGACAAAAAGAAGATTTAAATTCCTTGTCTGA